AGGCAGCTGCTCTTCCGCTGCACCCACATCACCCCGGGGTGGCGGGGCTCAAACCCAAGCTTCCCGTAGGACGGCGGGTGTAGGGGGGGAACAGACGCCCGGAGAGGTGATGCGCTTTGTTCAAGATCCCACAGCGCAGTGGAGCCAGGGTCCCCCGGTCCCTCTTCAGACGCTGCCCTCCTGCGCCAGCACCCTAACCCCACGCATTTTTCCTTGCTGGAGGAGGCTCTGTCAGTTTCTCTGGGACTGAACATCCCCAGACTCCAAAGACCTGCTTGGGCAGGTCATGAAGAGCCAGCCTTGAGCAAGCCTGTAATTAATTCCAGCACTCTGGAGGGCTGAGGCAGAAGGATCACAAGTTTTTGACCCCAAGTTTAGTGACTTTTCGACACCGTGTCTCAAAATAAAAAATAAAAAAGAGCTGGAGATGTAGCTCAGTGCAAAGGCCCTGGGTTCAATCCCTATTTCTTGGGGGGGAAAAAGCCGCAAACGGGTATGTGCATTGCACAGCCTTTGGGGGAAAGCAAACTGACAATGCAAATCAAAACTTCCAGCTGGGTGTCATGGTGCCCACCTGTAATCCCAGCATTTGGGAGGCTGAGGCAGGACGACTACTTTGCGCTCAAGACAAGCCTTGGCTACATAGGGAAGCTTTCCAATAGGACTGACTAGTGGGTGACACAGCCAGAGGTGAGGTTTGGCAACTCCTGATAGTGCAGTGGTACTGGTGGGGTAGGAGTCCTGGATGGGCACATGCTAGTAAGAAACAGACAAAATCCCCAGATGCCCAGGCTACTCTCATATGCATAAAACCACTCTTAACACGTAGGTGTGCATGTGTATGAGTGTGTAGTCTACCTCCCAATTTTTTTTCTTTTTCATTTTACCTCTCCAATGTTAAAATCACATTCTTACTATGGAAACACTCAGAGCATGGCGCACAGCCTATGATTCCATCCACTTGGAGGCTGAGGCAGGAGGGTGGCAAGTGTGAGGCCAGCCTGAGCAACTCAGCAAAACTGTGTCTTGAAGTAAAATAAAAAGGGTTGGGATGCGACTCGGTGAAAGAGAGCTTGCCTGGCATCTGAGAGGTGCTGGGTTTGATCCCCAGTTCTGCAAAAACAAAACAAAAATGGCACCATTTTAGAGCTGGTGAAAATTGAAGGGAGACGTAGGTGTGCAGCTCCCCAGCTGGAGGTGAGACGTTCCTTATTTATTGATTTAGTTCTCCTAGAGCTCACGCCCAGACACTCATGCATGCCACGCGAGTGCCCTACCATGGAGCTGCACCCACAGCCCTTTTTATCTTTTATTTTGAGGCAGGGTCTGCCTAAGTCCCTATGTTGCCCAGGCTGGGCTCGAATTTGTGATCCTCCTGCCTCAGCCTCCTGAGTAGCTGAGATTACGGGCATGAGCCCCCATATGTAGCTCCCCAAGCTTTTTTGATTTTCTATAAAAATTATCTACTACTTTACATATAATTTTCTACTACTTTATATATAAATTGAACAGGGAGGAACCTTAAGGATACCAGGCTAAATAAAATCAGCTAATCATAGCTGGGCATAGTGTTGCATGCCTGTAATCTCAGCATTTGGGGGGATCGCCAAGAGTTAGAGGCCAGCCTAGGCTACAAACAAACAAAAAAAAAAAAACAACAAAAAGACAAAAAAAACCCAAAAACCTAGCCAATCATAGCCAAACATGGGGAATCAGGGCACATGCCTGTAATCCCAGCACTTGGGAGGCTAAGGCAGGAGGATTGTAAATCTGAAGCCAGCCTAGACTACATAGCAAGACCATGTTTGTACGTTTGTTTGCAGTTGTGGGTTTTGAACTCAGGTCTTTGCATATGCCTGGCAGGCACAGTTCCACTGAGTTACATGCCCAGCACCAAGACCCTCTTTTTTCTGAATACTTTTTTTTTTTTTTTTTTTTGTTTTG